CCTAGATAGATCTATCTCTTCTACTAGTACGTCGAGATAAGCTAGTCTACGACTATCGATATAGTTAACAATTAGTTAATAGAACTGCGAGACCTCTATATTAATATTAGTACTAGGAATACCGCGATTAGCGCTACTATTAATCCGCTCCTAGGCATTAGCTCTATCTATACTATCGACCCTATTAATCGCATTGTTATTCTCTCTAGTATAGGTAACGCCGAGGGTTAATAAGTAGTTAGACTTATTTAGCGTATCGACGACCTCTATAATATACGTAGCGCCGAGAGCGTATACGTCGTCGGATAGACTAAGCTTAGATTAGCCTATCTTAGCTGCTACTAGCTTATAGTTAGCAAGACCTTTATCGACTAGCTTAGAGGCATACGAGAAAACCTAAGTTGTAGCCTTCTTATTAGTATAGTACGATATAGTCTCTATACTTATCGACTCTATTATCTCCTAGATAGTCGTAGTAGCCGTCCGGTTCTGCGAAACAAGCTCTATAGTCGTAGCTAAATTATAGGTAGCGTTGCCGTACGCTTTAATATCTATCTAGAATTCCTTATTAAGCAGTTCCTATATCTTATCTATAGCGACACTACGACCGTTACTCCTAGGATTAACTATAGAGGAGGCTATAATTGCGTCCTAAAGTAGAGTCTTTACTATATTACTAAACAACTAGCGTAAGTAGACTATCTCGCGGCTATAGTTCTACTATCGAGCACTAAGGAACTATAGGATAAGATAATCTACTATACGGCGAAGATAACTAGTATCTATCTTGCGGATCGATTTATAGACAGTTAAATAGCTATCGATCTGTTAGACTATACGATATATAGTTGTAAATGCGGGATCCTTATAAGGAGTACTATTAGCAAGTTAGCTATTCTATATAGTGCGAGTAAATATAGCCTCGTAGATAGATTTAACGATCTCGATATACTTAAATAGGTCTATATACTCGACAATAGTATCGATAATGTCCTTGCGGCTGCTAATATCTTCTATAGTAGAGAGAGCTACAATTACAACTAGATCAGTCGGCTTGCTACCTATATTAATCTTATAGCGCTTTCTTAACTTATAAATAAAACGGGCGACGACCCGAGCCTAGAAAGACCGTACGACGACCTAGCGGACTAAATAGTACTACGGCTTGTCTTTGTTTATACGAGGAATACTAAGATTTATAGCATCGGCCTATAAGGAGTAGGCAAGGGGCTCGCTATTACTATTCTTATCGAAATAAGATCGCAAAGTCGTATAGTAGCAGTTTATTTCGATATAGAAGAAAGCCGGGATAGGAACAATAAACTCCTTACGGTCGTAGGCGCGCGTACTCTCTACGCTTTCGCATTTAACAGTCTTGTTACGAGCAACCGTTATCTAGTTACTAATAACAAGGATTAGCTAGTCCTAGTACTTGTCGTTATCGGAATTTAGCTTAAGGAAGCTCTCGAATATGTCGTTATAGACCTCGTATATCTCCTAGATCGAGGCTTCGTCGTATATAGAGACTAGTAAGGAGACAATCTAAGTCTTCTTCTTCGACTTAATCCTAATTATAACCTAAGGAAAACGCTCCTTCGGACTACTACCTTTAACTAACTCTAGTAAGCGTCGCTGCTACTGTTTACGCTAGGCTTGCTATTTACGCTAGGCTTGCTATTTACGCTAGGCTTGCTATTTACGCTAGGCTTGCTGTTCGTCGGTCTACTAATTATCGGTCTGCTACTAGCGTTTAGACTTTCTCTTGCCCGTAGACTTGCCCTTCTGCTTAAAATCAAAGCTATTAAACAGACCTTAGATACTCGGGAAGATAGAACTAAGGGCCTAATCGATATAATATAGAGACATTAGCTTCTTATATCTATCGTTAGATATGCTCTAGAAGATAGACTTAGCGTTTAGCTTATATCGGTAATCTAATATATCCTTAGTTAGGCTACCTTCTAGCATCTCTAGATAGATTGCTAGATACGAGGTAGTAAAGTTCTACTATATAGTATTGCTTCTAAGCATCTAGAATCCTCTACGGTTCGCTTAGCGGTAGAAGTTGTCGTAAACAAGGACCTATTAACGAGAAGACTTTGCGATCTTAATAGCGTACCGTCGATGCATCTACGTCGTCTTCCGGGCAAGTCGCTAGAGTATACGGAATAACGGGCAGATACCTATAGCGCTAAGAACGTTAACTATACGCGCCTTAATACTACTAGTATAAAGGTAGAGACCGATCTTCTTACTAAACTAGCCGGCCTTCCTTAGGGCAATCGATCGGACTACGAGCTATATAATAAACATAATACGCTTCTTTATACGCTAGTGTTTATCGCTAACGATATCCTCCTAAGCACTATTACCGTTATCGGTAATAGTAGTAGTATCGGCGGCGGCTACGAGCTTCTCCTAGATCCTACTAGCGGTATATCGCTAATTAGGCAATATACTCTATAGAACGCGATACTAGACTAGAGTAATCCTCTTAATATTATAGTCTATCCGCTTAAGGAGATCGGTATTCGAAGTATTCTCGTCTTCTATTTCCTTAGTAATCGCCTCGAGATTATATTCGCTAAAGAACTCCCTTCTAACGAGTCGCTTTAGCTCTATACGCATCTCCGTCGTACTTATAAGGCCTTTACTTAGTAGAAAGGCCTTCTTTATAAGCTTGCGTACCTTCTAACGATAGTCTCTTATGCCTAAAACACCGACGTATATAGCTATAAACTTAGCTATTATTAGATATTGCTCGTCTATAGCACTTCGGACGTATTCGTACTTCTGTTCGTTAGATATACGAGTCTTACGCTTCTTACGCTTCTTGCTAGATTAACTAGGTCGCGTAGATATTAATCTTAGGTTCGGAGTTAACTCTATATTACGAGGACCTCTCGCAGTACCTAGAGCCTTACTACTACGTCTACTATAGCCGGTACGAGGAGTCGTATCGTTACCGTTGTTACTAGATTCATCTTGCGACTCTTCTTAGTCCTAGTCTCGGTCGAGTTTAGGGTCGTATCTAGGTATATTACTAGCGCGGTCTTCTATATCGAGTTTATCCTCGCTTAATCTATCGTCTTGCTTCTTAATCTCCGAGTCTACGTTATCCTCGTCTTTAATATTAGACTATTTAGGTTCTTCTATAGCCGGCGGTAGCGGCTTACGTATACGGAGAGAACGCGGCTAGCGGCGATTCGCTTCTTCGATAGCCTTTTAACAGACTCGTTAGTTACGGCGTTAACGGGTAAGGCGCGCTCTACGATTAGCGATTTCCTATATATATTTATTCGGGAGGGCGTCGCGTAGGTCGCTATATACCTAAGAGCTCGCGATACCTTCGTCTATAGTTAGTATCGTTAACGGATAGCGTTGAAGTCGATATAGAGGGAAGAGAAGAGAAAGGGAAGAGAAAAGAAAGGGAAGAGAAGAGAAAGAAAAGAGAAGAGAAAGGGAAGAGAAGAGGATATCGCGTAAGTAGACAAATAGGAGAGTAAACTAAAATGCGCGTATATAGCTCTCGAGTCCTATATCCGATTCGTACTAGCGTAGACAAACGGAAGATAACTAGATAACACTAGAACCCTCTACTACGCGTACGCTAAAGTCGCAGAGGTATATAAGGAAGTTTAGTATCGTTAGAAGATCGGAAATCGACTAAGCGATACTCGAGATACTAGCGATACTAGAACACCTACAAAGATCGATAGTATCTAGTACGTATAGGTTGTACGCAGCCCTAGAAAGTTACTAAATACTATCCGAAGATATACTAAAGGATTTAGCGTCGTTAGAATAGTAGAAATCGGAAGACTATAGTCGCCTAGTTAATAAATCGAAGATTCGAGTTACTACCGACTAGGACCTCGTATATTGCGCCGATATATTGCGCGACATTAACGGCTATAGCGATTAATAGAACAGACCTTTGCGATGCTACCTATATAGTTTAGTATAGATAGATAGTATAGTTATTAATCTATTTAGCCTACTATCGCGAAGTAGTTATATAGGTATAGAACCTATAGGTTTTTAGTCCGTATACTCTATAGTTTTATATATCTTAAAAATTAGTTTGTATTACTATATACGTCGTAGAAACACCTCGAACCCCCCTCCGCTAATATATTAGCTATCTCGGACGTATATCGCGGTATTCTATATATAAGAAGCTAGTTAATGCTAAGATAACCGATTATTTGCAGGGGCCTAACATTATATCGTTAGACGCTCCGCTAGAGCATTGGCTTTGCTAAGAGTCACGTATAGAGCGGCTGATTGGAGACAGGGCTAACTGACCATTGTTCGCAATCTCAACCATGTCTACTACTGCAGTGTCCTCTTCTTTTGCGATGGGAGATGCGAGGGTGAGGGTAGCTAGGAGGAGGGCTAGGAGGGTTGGGAAGTGCATTTTGGAGGGTGGTGGGTTTGGTGCAGTGCAGTGTTCTGGATGGAATTCGATGTTGGTGTTCAAAGCATGATCCCGAAAGATCTGTGTACCGGCACATTTTCATCATCACTCTTGAATCCTGCGAGTCTTGAGATATACAAGGCGGGAAGAACGTGGTCTGAAGCTTCCTGTTCCTGCCAATCCTTCGGGGTGCAGATCTCTACACTTAAGCTCGCAAGAGGCGTTTTAAATAAGGTTAACCTGTTATTCCCATCAGTCGAACCGATCCCCTCCCGGTGTGGGTGGCGACAACCAGGAGTTGTTACCGATTCTCGGCTTGATTATTGGTGGTAGAGCTGTAGAGTAGAGTTGAAACGGCGTGGTGATCAACTATCCGAAGCACTTTCAAGCACTTCCACGGCACAGCACGGCATTCTCTTGGGTTTGCGCGTGGCGTGCACGAGGCTGCATCGGTTTGCGAGCAGCTCATGTTCGTACCGAAACGGTTGCGTGGTGCGTCTTTTTAATCTTCCCATGTGATGCCATTGCCGCTCATCATTGGTACCTCACACCACCGAATTCTATCTCACTCGTAGCAATCATGGCTGGGCTCGACGAGACTCTGAAAGGCACAGCATCGCTGGCGGCAGTATTCCTCTTCCTGACGACCGCGACGATAGCTTTGCGATTCCTCGCTCGGTACAAGCAGAAAGCCGGCGTAGGTCCCGATGATTATATGGCGTTGGCATCATGGATTGGATTTGTGGGTATCGAGGCCTTGTTCATCTATGGTGCGTCAATCATATATCTATCCATCTTCGTTGATCAGAGCAAAGCTGACGAGAACGAACCAAGCAGGCATGACACACCATTTCATCGGTTACCACAAACCCGCCGATAAATCTATCCAGACAGCTCAACATCCCATGATGGAGCGTGTGTTCCTCTCTCTCAACATCCTCGAGGTCTGGGCTTTCGGCACTGTGAAATTGAGCGCTCTCTTCTTTTACAGAAGGTTGTTCTGCACCAGAGCGAAGCCGACTCATGTTCTCAACTACATTACCTGGACCATGATCGCCATCGTCTCGGCGTGGATTGTGACGTTTTGTATCATGACTTTTAATATCTGCGGCAAGCATAACACGATCGAGTGGACCGTGATGAAGGGAGCGACGAAAGAGTGCAAGCTCAATTATCCTTACTTCCGCGCTGTGAGCATCTCGGACTTCGTTCTAGATGTGATCATCATCACTCTTGCTTTCCCGATGGTATGTGTTCTACATGCATGGATTGTGTGATCCGGGCTGATGTGTTCCAGATCTGGTCGCTGTCAATGAACAGAACTCGCAAACTCGCCGTGACCGGCGTGTTTTTGCTTGCTCTTGGGTGAGTCGTCATTCGATGATCGTCTTTCGCGGTCCGTGATGCTGACAATGTCCAGCGGTGTCGGAGCCAGCTGTGCACGCATGGTCGAGTATAACCTGTCGGTGAACGCAGGTCGATCGGCGAACGACAAAGACGAGTACCGTAAGATTTTCTCTCTTGCCCTGCTGTATTATTATTATTATTATTAATTCCATTTTTAGCCCGTTCCTCGGCTACTCCGAGTGCGGCTCAAGGCCGCTAGCTGTCCACTGCGGACGCTATACTAGGCTCTAACTATCTACGGACTAACTATGTATTAATTCTACCGCTCCTAAAGTGAATACTATTCTAACGCTAAATACAGACTATGTTTTTGTTGTTTTTCACTCCTTTATGCTAGCCCGTAACGCCTAGCTAACTAGAACTAATAAGATTATATAAGTAAATAAACGTTAAGTCCCTCGCTCTCTACCCTTTCGCCTATTATCTATATTACTTCCTAGTCTTTCGAAGGTATCCGCCTATACCCTCGATTTTCTAGAAGCTAAACTATCTCGGGTCCTTAAGGTCTCCCTATAAGAAGGGTATATTAGCAGGTAGATAGGGTAGTAGTAGGTACAAGTAGTATTCGATAAGGATCTAGGAGGAGAGGGAGGAAGGTAGGAGAGTTAGCCTAACGCTAAGCGCTAAGCCCTACCTAAGGTATTAAGACCCTAGCTTTACTCGGCCTAGTTATATACTAATTACGTATAGCCTCTTTAGCCCTAATATACGCTTCCCTTCTAAAGGCCGCGCCCTCGTAGCCGGTCTTTGTTCTAGTCTTAACCTCTATTGCTACTAACTTAGTAGGTCTAATAAGCCGCTTAGTCCGCGCTAAATTAAACGTACAACTACCGATTATGTAACTATATCAAACCTTACCTCTAATATAGTACAATGTCTAACTCTAACTGCGCTATCCTTATATATAATAAAGTAATATAGTACTATAAGAATTAAGGACTATCGACTAATTATAATATAAGTATACCTTCCCTACTATAATAGGTAGACGTACGAGGTATTATAGCTCTGCCTCCGCTCTAAGTAATATCGTACCGAGTTCTTTGCGTCTACTCTTAAAAAACCTAGAAATGTCCGCTTCCGAGGGTTGTTCTTATTATAACGAGGGCTATTATTTACTATCGTAGTTTCGCTAGCCCTAATTAGCTAGGTTTAGTAGCCTTTAAGTGTCAATCTTATCTTATCTTTTTAAAAAACACGGTTCTTCTAGTTTCTATAGGTAAAGGCTATTATAAGTATAGTAGTTAAGGTTCGCCTCGCTTAAAGGGTTAGATAGATCGAGGAGTAACCTATTATCCGCAAGATCGACCCCGGCTAACTTAGCTCTATAGTTTTGCCCTTAGTTAGCTAGTCTGTTAGTCGCTCAATCTTTTAAGCGGCTTAAAGTTTTAATTAAAGTTTTAATTAAACCTTTAATATAGCTATTCTTTTAACTTAGCCGGTAGGGTACGCTCCGGCTCGTAGTGTAGGTAAGGTTGTGTCTATAGGCGTAGCGACAATAGCAAGTAATATTAACAATAGCGGCGCTAGTCGTCTTAGCGCTAACTTTACCTTCTTCTAGTTTCCTTCTTTAACTAATAACAACTCGGCAATACCGTTACTAATATAGCTGTATCCTTCCTTTTTTAAACAGTAACACACTCCGCAATACTGTTACTAATATAGCCGCGCCGGCCGCGCCGATTGCCTAGGCCTCGATAGAATAAGGGAATAAGAGGGGGACTTAAATACTAGGAGAAGGGCCTCGTAGGGCGCGTTAGTAGAGAGGTAGTTTCCTAAAAGAGCAGCGAATAGTTAACGCGTTATAGCGCGCTTATTAACACTCGGTACGCGTTTACTATAGTAGTATAGTCTTATTGTCCTAGTTTGCCGGCCTCTAATTAGTTAGCTAATAACACCCCGGGGGTAGTATTGTCCTAGGCCTTAATAGTAACATTATAAGCTTTTAGCCTTCTTCTTGTCCTTTACGCTAGTCTAATACTTATCTAACAACTTAGTTATGTCTTTAAAAGAGGCTTTATCTTCCTACGAGTCCTATTTAGGCGAATAGCCTTGCTATCTTAGGAGGTACTCCTTTTTGCCTTACCTAGTCCGGTGCTTTAGAATACGTTCTATAGACTACAGTTCTTTACTATTAGCTAGTATATCCTCGGATTTAGTAGGTGCTTTATCCCCTTCGCGTAGGTAGTACGGCTTAAGGAGGGATACATAGAAGGTGTTATAGATAGTATAATAAGGTAGAAGCTATAACTAATAGGCCTAGGTGCCCCTAGGTTCTCGGATACGGAAAGGGCTAATGTACCTTAGTGCGAGTTTAGGCCTTGTTTTACTATTAGGCGAGGGGTGTTTGCGGATACGGAGGTTCTTCGTACTAAGCATAACTAGGTCGCCTTGCTTAAAGGTTATTAGAAGGTAGTGTTTATTATAGTAGGCCTTCTAATAGGCCTAGGACTTTGCTAGTTTGTTAGCTATCTTAGCGTGAATTTCTCGTATCTTTTAAACCCTCTTAATAGCCGCTAGTGTCTTAGGTTAACCCGCTTCCCTTTCCTTACGCTCGGCCTCGAGCGATAGGGGGTCTTATAGCATAGCAGCGTTCTAGCCTATTATAGCGAAATAAGGTAAAACCTTAGTAGATAAGTGAACACTATTGTTATATACGAATTCGGCTAGTTATAGGAGGTTAACCTAGTCGTTAGGGTTCTTATTAATATAGCTGCGTAGGTACTGTTGTAGCGTAGCATTTTGCCTCTCGGTCTAGCTATCTGTTTGTAGATAGAACGCTATAGATAGGCGATGCTTAAGTCTTAGCTATAGGCATATCTCACTCTAATAGTAAGATATAAATATCGAGCCTCTGTCGGAGACTATCCCTTTAGGGGTTCCCTAATAGCTATAGAAGATATTGTTCTATAGTGCTTTAGCTATATTAATAGCCGTCTAATCCTTCCGAGTAGGAATATAGCGAGCACCCTTAGTAAATCGGTCTATAATAACTAGTATAGCGTTAAAGACGTCTTTGCTTCCTCTTCGCTTAGTAGGGGGAAGACCTATAATAAAGTCTATTATAAGCTCTACAAAAGGCTTCTTTAGAATAGGGAGTAAAGACAACTCGCTAAATAGTAAGTGCTTTAGTACTTTAACTCGCTAGCAAACTGCACAGGTCTGTATATACTCCTTTATATGCCGTTTACTATTTAGCTAGTAGTATATACGCGATAGCAGCTCGTGCGACCTCTCTATGCTATAGTAACTAGCGAGCTTACTATTATAGTGCCTCTTTAAAAGCTCTTGTCTAATCGATTGCTTAGCGGGGATATAGTATCTGCCCTCAAACTTTAAGTAACCTTTATCGTCGATCGACTAACTATTACTCTTGCTAGATCGAGTCGCCTGTCTACTTATAAGCCTATTAATACGCTCGATAGCAAAGGCGTCCCTCTGCTAAGTACGTAATAGCTTATCTATAAACGATTAACTATCCCTATTTGCAAGGTTATTTAATAGTACCCTCGCTATTAAACGAGGTACGCATTATATGTATCTAATAGCACTAGCAGCCGGAACTACTGCAACCTCTTCTATAGTGCTATCGCTATATAGACTATTACTATAAATAGCAATGTCCTTAATCGAGTTATTATAGCTTAAGCGATCTACGTCCTTTCTTTTAACGTATACTAGAAGAACGACAACTCCGCTATAGTATTTGTTACCGCCGCGGGGTCCGGGAGTCCGCTTATCCTACGCTTGCTTTACGGCAAGGTCTATAGCAATCTTATACTATAGGGTTAGAAACAAAGAATTAATATATTAGGTCTCGCTACTGTAATTAGGTCGCCTCGATAGGCTATTAGTAGGGTTGCTTACGCCTAGCCGATATAATATATTAAAATTAAACCTAGCGAGGTAGACGGCCTATCTAGCCTATCGACCTATAACCCTAGTAACCTTAGTAATGCTACGGAGGTTGTTATAGTCCGTATACACCTATATTGTATATTAGGCCCTATCGAGGTAGTGCCTCTAGTGCTTAAAGGCCTCGATAATAGCTAGGAGCTCTTGCTCGTAGGTCTCGTAGCGACGCTTAGCATTAATTATCTTCTGCGAGAAGAAGGCAATCGGGTGCTAGTAATAGTTATTATCTAATTGCTAGGACATAATAGCCGATATAGCGAACTGTAAAGCGTTAGTCTCAATTCGGATCTGCTTATTTAGTACGAAATGGTATAATAAGGGGACTTTAGTAAAGCGTCGCTTTAGACCGTCAAAAGCGGCTTATACTCTATTAGTCTATTTAAACTCTCTAGTCGGGTTGGCCTTGGTTTTAGTAAGCTTAGTTAGTAGTATTATATGCCTCGAATAGCCCTTAATAAATCGGCGATAGAAGTTAGCAAAACCGAGGAACGACTATAGCTCCTTAATTAACGTAGGAACAGGCTATTTAGTAATAGTTTTAATCCGATTAGGATTAGCCTTAATACCCTTAGTCGATACGAGGAAGCCGAGGAATAATACCTCTTTAGTAGTAAAGGTGCATTTAGAAGGCTTGTAATACAAGCTATAGGCTCGTAGGCGATCGAGCACCTTACGGACTATAGCCTAGTACTCCGCAATATTAGGGGAGTATATATAAACTAGGATGTTATCTAGGTAAACTATATAGAGGTAGTCTAATAGGCCCGAAAGGGCCCGATTAATGTAGGACTAGAATGTTATAGGGGCATTAGCTAGACTAAATAGCATAACTAAGTACTCGAAATAGCTATAGCGAGTGCAAAAGGCTGTCTTCTATTTATCGCCCTTACGAATACGGATGCGGTAATAGGCGTCCTTAATATCTAATATAGTATAGTAGTAGGCACTAGAAAGGCGATCGAGAGTCTCGTTAATAAGTAGAAGTAGATAGCGGTCTTTAATAGTAACAGCATTAAGCCCTCTATAATCAATATATAAACGTAGGCCGCTATCCTTCTTTAGTACGAATAGGATAGGTGCACTAGCAGGGCTGTTACTATATCGTATCTAGCTATTAGCTAGGTTTTCCTCTAGATACTTACGTAATACAGCAAGCTCTCGTTTACTAAGGTTGTAGAGGGGGCTAAAAGGAACCTCCTTGCCCTCTATAATGTTAATCTTATAATCCGTCTCTTTAAATATAGGTAACGTCGATGCTAGGTAGTGTTTAAATACATTAATATA